TCCCCACCTCCCCCACCACCCCAACCGCCAACAGCGTGACCCCGGCCGGCATCAAATCGACGCCGGACCAGGATACAGGGACTTCCAACCTGGCCCAGGCGTTTTCCCGTGGGAAGGAGTGTCAGAGCCGCTTCATGTTCGTGGCGCGCGTTTTGGTCGGGAGGTATGCGCGCGGTAACTCTCGGCTGGTGCGTCCACCTCCCATCGACACCAACTTCCCGTTTGGCAAGTGTTTTGACTCTTGTGTGGACGACGTTATTTCGCCGCAGATATTTGTCATTTTTGACAGCAACCAGGCCTTCCCAGAGTATGTCATAGAGTACGTGTAGTTTGTGTGTCATGTGTGTAACGTGTGTGTCATGTGTGTAGCATGTGTGTGTAGCATGTGTGTGTCATGTGTGTAACGTGTGTGTAGCTTGTGTGTAACTTGTGTGTCATGTGTGTAGCTTGTGTGTAACGTGTGTGTAACTTATGTGTCATGTGTGTGTCGTAGAGTGTGTGGGGGTAATTAAATATGTGTAGCTTGTGTGTCATTTGTGTAACTTGTGTGTCGTAGAGTGTGTGGGGGTTATCGAGTACGTGTAGTTTGTGTGTCATGTGTGTAACGTGTGTGTAACTTGTGTGTCATGTGTGTGTCGAAGGGGGTCATAGAATATGTGTAGTTTGTGTGTCATGTGTGTAACTTGTGTGTCATGTATGTGACTTGTGTATCATGTGTGTGTCGTAGGTGGTCATAGAATATGTGTAGTTTGTGTGCCATGTGGGTAACTTGTGTGTCATGTATGTGACTTGTGTATCGAGTGTGTGTCGTAGAGTGTGTGGGGGTCATTAAATGTGTGTGTCTTGTGTGTAGTTTGTATGTCATAGAGTATGCGTAACTGTGTAACTTGTGTGTCATGTTCGTAGTTTGTGTGTCATTGAGTATGTGTAACTTATGTGTCATAGAGTGTGTGTAACTTCTGTGTGTGTCATACTCTATGACACACAAGTTACACATACTCTATGACACACACACAAGTTACACACACACACGCACCAGCCGCGAGTTACCGCGTGCGTATCTCCCGACCAACACCCGCGCCACGAACAAGTGTGTAACTTGTGTGTCATAGTGTGTGTGTAACTTGTGTGTCATAGTGTGTGTGTAACTTGTGTGTCATGGTGTGTGTGTAACTTGTGTGTCATAGTGTGTGTGTAACTTGTGTGTCATGGAGTGTGTGTAACTTGTGTGTCATAGAGTATGTGTGTAACTTGTGTGTCATAGAGTGTGTGTAACTTGTGTGTCATAGTGTGTGTGTAACTTGTGTATGTGTCATAGAGTGTGAAACTTGTGTGTCATAGAGTGTGTGTAACTTGTGTGTCATAGAGTGTGTGTAACTTGTGTGTCATAGAGTATGTGTGTAACTTGTGTGTCATAGAGTGTGTGTAACTTGTGTGTCGTAGAGTATGTGTGTAACTTGTGTGTTAAAGAGTATGTGTGTAACTTGTGTGTCATAGAGTATGTGTGTAACTTGTGTGTCATAGTGTGTGTGTCATGGAGTGTGTGTAACTTGTGTGTCATAGTGTGTGTGTAACTTGTGTCTCATAGAGTGTGTGTAACGTGTGTCATAGAGTATGTGTGTAACGTGTGTGTCACAGAGTACATTCGTGCGAC